GAAAACGATGGGGGAGGGAAATATATTTTTTGTTGAAACTGTAAAATGAATATCGTTGCTCTAGCCGCTAGAGTAACGATATTCATTTTACAGTTTCGACCCATCCAAACAAGAATGGGAAGGCAGATGGGTCGCCAGGCAGGTCCCCAACTTATCTCACGATAATATACAAACTACAAGTTACTTGTACTGTCAGACCAAAATGTCACAAGCTGACATATGTGTTATCAATACTACTGATGACATTACACAAATTCGACTAGCTAACATGTAGATCTTAACTAGTCATACTTTTAGTGCGCAGATGTCAACTACTGCACATTTTGGCTCACTAGTAACATGTTGTTGTTCTATTAGGATGCCAATGTTGTTCTACTTGTGTGCAAAAATTGATGCAGTAGAGTAAAACGTTATTTGTAAGACAACACAGTTACTCTACGAGTGCCGTGAACTGTGTTATTACTGAGGACAAAGCGCATACTAGTACACGGACCTTTAGCTCAATACAAGGGATATTGAATAAGTGTTCAATCGGCTTTCTGTAATATACTGTTCTTGTGCATGTATGTGCACGTACGTTGCTGGAGGGCCTCCCAGTGCTTGTCCCACTTCACAGACAGCTCGTGTTGCTTAGCGACAACCTGGTCCAGCTTCTCCTTGATCTGCACTCAAAAAATGTCAAACGTTCTCATCTTTATCATAATCATCATTATGTGTCTTGATGCAATAAAAATTGGGAAACACTGTTGCAATTCAATCACAAATTAGTAGAGTGACCTGGTGAGCTGCAGGGTTCCTTGCCGCCAGCAGCATCTTTCCCATGTCGATACATTCCATCACACTCTGACTCCGGGCGTCCACCTCGTTCCTCAGACTCTGGTGATAGTTCATCAGAACTTCTACAGATGACACGTCCCTGAACACCACATGGTGAAAACATAAGGACAGCATCACATACCAACAGTACCAACCAGAACCCTGTCGTGAAACCATACCCCTGGTTTGGAACTCACTCAATTCCCAGCTTGAAACATTACTTTGAAAGCCTAACACTCATTTGAAACCCCAAAACTATCTTGAAACTCTACTGGGAGGTCCGAACACTTGTTTGCAACCCTAACCCAGTCTTGAAACCCCAATTCGAACCACATTGGGTTCATAATGAATACAAACAAATACAAGTACAAGAGCTTCAAGATTAAAAAAGGCTATAAAAGGGTGCTGCATGCATACCTTGGCTTCTCCCCCGTGTTGATCTGGCAGAGGATGGAGTCCATCCACATGATCTGATCGCGAGCAAGGCCCAAGAACCTGAGCTTGTCCGTCTCAGTGGTGATCTGTAGCCGACACTCCTCGCACGAGGTGAGCAGCTCCTTCCAGCATTGCATAACTTGGTGCTCGCGGCAGGCAATGGCTTCCGCTTTCTCACCGGCATACACGGTCCTCAACTGGGCCGCGCTCTCCTGCAGCTGACGCACCTGATGGACCACAATGACGTTACAAGGCTCCCGCAGAAAAGGGACAATCTTGACCTTTTACATCAGGGGCGGCAAATATTTTATATGCCGTACCTGAGTGACCAGCAGTTGGATATCCTGCTCGAAGCCGTGCAGCAGCCTTTGCAGCGTGCTGGTGTTGGCCGTACTGCTCTGACAGATGCGCACCTCCGGTAACCTGCGGTGCTTGTCCTCAATCTGAGACAGAACCTGGAAACCATGTAAGCAAAAGTTGCTTCATGTCCAACTCATCCCGTAGTGTTTTCATGTAACTTCATCAGTGCGACTTTTCTACGTTTCCTACCACCTGCGTGTCGCGACGAGCTCACCTCCCGGCAGTCGGCAAAGAACTTGTGCAGCTGGTGCGAGGCAGCCAGCATCTGTGCTCGTGTCTCTATCAACTCCAGCAGTTCAGCCCATGACTCGTTGACGGCGTCCTTCCACTCGGCGATGACGGCAGCCTCGGCATGGCCGTAATCGATAAGCTCGTCCACCATTTGATTGACAGCCGTCACGCGTTCCTGACCCACGCTGCCTGTCTCTGATGCAAACTCTGTAAATTTCTCCTGGAGCAACTAAAAAAAAGATATTTTGACATTCTTGTAGAACCTTCCATATTGAGATGAGTAGTCATTTCATCTTCAACTTTTAGCCATCATAATAATGAATCTCCAGCATCTTAAACACTAGCCAACGTAGAGTCTTTCATCGCAACTGGCCAAGGCGGTAAGCCTTTGCTTTGCCTTTTTTCCGAGCTCAGAATGTGGTAAGCTGCAATTGCTTTGTAAATGTGCACTGTCACGTTCTCTACTATTTATGGCCCTGATGCAGCTGATGCGGAATCCACAGTGTCCCAACTTACGCTGACATGCTCAAAGTCCTGTCCCAGCTCGGGCGAACTAGCCACCACTTCCCTCTGAGCGATCCATTGCTCCAGCTCATCCACCTCGCGGTTGAGCTGGTAGAGCCAGTACTGCTGCTCCAGGCGGCTCTTGCGCTCCTCCACCAGGTCCTTCAGCGAAACGTACAAGCGGTCCACCTGCGACTGACTCTTACTGATCTGCTCACTGTGCC